CACTGCATTGTCAGTGGACTGTCGATTGGGGGATTGGGAAGGGATATATGCATTGATGGCGACAGCTTGGATGCACGAGCGCCATTGAGGACGTGACTGGGCCATGTCTCACAATGTCTTTAGCCATTGATGTGGCTCGTCTCGGGGTCCCCATCTAGGAAGACGGCAATGACCAGCGCAGCTGTTTGCTGGTAATGGCCTACATACTTCGCTGCCAAGTCATTATTTGACCGCCTCTGGCTCTCTTGCAACCTTCACATGGTTGGGCGAAAAGAGCCCTTCGAGGAAGTCGGTCGACTGGCATACGCAGCACGTGGCCAAGCCAACGCAACCTGTGCAGTGTGATCAATTCATCTATCGAGGGTGAGTTATTTCTCCCGAATACCATTCGACGTACTTCAGAATTGCTGATCCGGTGTTCCCACCAGATTCGGGCAATGCTCCGAAGACATCGATGGTCAAACACTGAAAGTCTTTTGACGTCCTCGGCGCACCGGATGCGACACTGAATACTATACGGGGAGTTGCACTACATCGAATCAAGCAGACAAAAGGTTAATCAAACCGTAAACTACCATGAAACGTTTGGCTACAGGCAAAGATCCATTGTTAGTGTTCCGTGGAGTATGACGTAGGTGTGAGTTATTGTTACGCTCCAGCATTTACTTTTGGTGTGCAATAATTGTTTACCGCCACGATGAAACCGTGCTCAAATGATGCAGATCATTTCACTTCATCCAAGAAGTTATGTGAAATAGATAGATATACAAGGGAGCATGAATGTAAGGAGGAACGCCCTTCGCCACAAAGTCGGTTATTAGCAAACACCAACTAAACAGTCACACACTACTGGACAGGAAGGTAAATATGTCATTTGTACCTTATGTTTAAAAAAAACTGCACATCCACACTCGTCTTCTTGAACTTTCGTGGATATTCGGTGACTATGACGCAATTGTGAACGAACGCTGCAAAGCGGTTCCACAGGTTCCGTAATAGATCCAACTTGGTGCACTTTCCATTTTACGCAAGGCGGAGTTACGACAGAATCACATATTAATCGCACGTCTCGTCAGTAGTATCCGCCGCTACACACCTTCCAGTTTAAAGGTCGCTTGCATGCCACCAATTTCCAGTTACCACCGTTAGGTCGGCCTCAGTAGCTGGTCTATTCGGTGGCTCTTCTGGTGTATCATGTCATTTACACTTTTCGATCCTAGACCGTCGTGAATTGTATAGACGTTCTCCTGGCGGTCGGTAACAACAAAGAGACCTTGCCATCGACTGCCCAGGCTCCACGACTCATGTCCAGTCCTTCCAGGATTTTGATGATCCTTCCACCTGACCTTCGCGCCTATGGGGAATGGTCGTGCCTTTCTACTTGCTGTTTTTTCCCTAGTGCTTTCCTGAACGGCCGTCAAGTTTTCTCGAGCTTTCCTTCTTTCTTCTAACTCTTCTGGAGACAAACGTGTTGCGAGCCACGACCCAATTTCCTGCTCAACTGGAAGACGCGCATGTCGACCGCACACCAGCATGAACGGCTAGTTGCCTGTGGTTGGCTCTATGGGAGCACGATGTGCTAGCAACACCATCGGCATGTTCACCTCCCAGCCACCGGCCACTCCTTGATCGTTCAGTTAGACCATTTGTTTGCTGGTGGTATGGTATCATCCTAAGTCACTCGATGCCCAGCTTCTACAAGCAACTCCTAAATTCTTCGCTCTCTCAAAACCAGCTGATAGCTTTCCGATTCCTAAAGACAAATGCGCATTTACAGTCCATGGGTCCGTGGATAAAAATTCGGTCCCGATTCGATATTAGAGGATAAGGAGATACAACACTCGTAGGTGTCTGATCGTGCCACGAATTCGAGTATTTTTTAAAAGAGGTAGGGGATTAGTTCCCAGACTAAGGTCACAACATTCCTGGATGTATGTGTGAGGAGACAGTTGAGTTTCATTAAGCGTACACCAGTTGACCATATGTTAAAAAACGGGACTGAAACAAAGTCTCTCAAACGTCTTTGGTTTTCGTACTCGTAGCCGAAGCATCACTTACTTCGCCATACACGTTTTCACCAGGCATCCAGGCTTCAATATCTACCTTTCGATGAGCAGAATTTCCCAATTCGGATGTGGGCATCTCCAGCACTCTAGAAATGCATTACACAATACCATTTATGTTGCACATATAACGGGGAAAGAAGAAAGGCGGTATTATTCAATAACTTCCCGCAGAAAAGATACCTTCTGAAGTATCTAACTAGGCACCAACACACATCTGGTAGATGCATACCGAGTTTCATGTGGTTTGATCCTATCTAAGTGAATGTCTCCTAGCTGTACACTTCTCATTTTACTAAAGGTTCGAGATGGACCCATGTGGCCGACGGATAAAATCAGAAAACTACTGAATCCCAGTGGCGGAATCCGGTCCTTCCGAAACAGGCGAAACAACACCATTTGATGTTTTTACAACGTTAATCACATTTCACGGACGTTAATGCAGTAAGGAGCTTATCGATCGGCCGAGTGTACATGTGTACAACCTGATCTATACACCATTGTTACCTAGTACTGTTGGAGATATGCGAGACAAACCAAACAACCAACAGAAATTGTGAACAGAACATGTTTCCAGCTGTCAGGCGTCGACATACTGCAAACCACATAGTGAATTTCCTTCCGAAGTTTCCAAAGCTTTAGACGTAGGTTGCAGTTTTGATGGCTTCCAACTGGTGGATGTCGTCTGATCAAATTAGGGATTTTCGGAAAACATGATTATCCGAGAAAGCAGCTGTGTAGAAAAGCACGTACCTGAAGTGTAGTCCCAAATCTGCAAAAAGACAGATTTGGAATTTCAAAATCTTGTTGAAAAAGGCATCTGACGCGGACATGTCGGGTGGCGTGAGACCAAACATTTCAACCTGGGATAAAATGAAAGCTGAAGCCAATTATAAGCATCAAAGAGGAATGGAGAGTTGAAAGAACCCAGCATGACAAAAAAGATGAAAGCATGAGAGAATTTCATCCTGACCACTAAATAACAAGAAGCCTAACGTCCACCTGGTTTTTCAATCACTGTCACGCGATGCATCGAATTACGGGCTTCAGCAATGTGAAATTGTGGATACTACGATACCCGGCCTCGCAACAGTGCACTCGTGTTTCATTACGAACTAACCTGAGATGACATATTCTACGAAGACAAATCTTCACATGCACGAACTGAGAGTAGTTTGACATGCTGAAGATTTAACTGTTTCACTGTCCTCTACGAGGTTGTTGCTAGGAAAATAGGCACTTTATGCGGAAACGCGTCTGTGCAGCTGAAATCCACGCTTAGCACTAGGGGATCCCGTGTTTTCCCGCCTTTAAAATTATTAACCCCTCTTACAAACGGGAGAATGGTACGCTCAATGAAAGTTTTCCCTCCAAAGCTGTTTTGTCTCGGGCGCTCAAGTTGCTTCCAAATCGGCACAGTGGTTTGATTGCTATGAAACACCGAGTGTACTAACTCTCGGGTAGCACCAAAGGCAACTGCGAACTACATCGTTATATTCCTACGTCTATGGGACACATGGTGGCGTAACACTACCTTGTTGCTACGGTGTATGCCGAATCCGATAGTTTTGCTAGCCTCGACCGCGATAACATGCGTAAAGAACCGGACTTCACATAACGCACTAGACAATGACACTCTAACAGACGGTTCCGCCAAAACTAGTGAGGGGGAGATTGAACCATGTGAATATGCTATTGCGTCACAGAAGCTGTGATAGCGGAAACAATGCCCCTCTTTCACGCCGATTACTTGTGTTACAATGTGGAGAAAGTTGGCCACTACCAACAGAATATTAGAAGCAAATGGGTTTATAATGCTTCCACATTTCACACACGGAAGTAGTAAGAAGTTATCAGTGAAAACTTTCGGCATGTAACATCGGGATGCCCATTGCTTTTATTACCTTTGTAAATTGGTGGACTCGGTAGAGTGGAGCTTCTTGGTGTGGGGCCTCTTGCCGAAAACACCGACTGACAGCACAGAGTCCAACAGCAGAACTTGTGTTTGGATCGGTTAACTGTTCCTCGACAGTAAAAGTCCGTCCCGCGCAAAAACTGGCCAGACCCATTTCTGCCGTACCCGAAAGGCAGTAGGTCATGTCTTCTGACGAGCAGAGCTTATAGACCTGAAAGGGCAGACAGAACGTGTCAAGAAACCAGATACAACACAAGTGCGTAACACTCGAAAGTAGTTTTGCTTGCCTACAATCATTAACTTGAAACGACGTTTTTGTGCCATCCTTATTACAACTAATCAAGTGGCTTCATCTGTGTTGCGGTCCAAAGGCATATACATATTAATTTCAAACCAAATGGCTTTGAACGTCACCCTATTTTAAATTATGATGCCCAAAAGGAAGTACNNNNAGTTGGTTTGAAACTGACGCCTTCTGAGAGACCACTCCCAACCTTATTTGTACTAGTTAGCTAACGAAGGCCAGGTTGAAAACGCATGCAGAGTTTTTTCGTATCCCGACGCCACATATACCCCCCGACTAAACGCGCTGCAGCTAAGTTTATTTCCGGTTTGTTTAAAGGCCATAACACGCACCTAGCAACACTTCGGAAGTCCCCCTGAAAAGACCACGTAAACGGAAAGGCCAAAAGTAACCACTCTTAGAAAAACTCTAGAGGATCAACCATAATCGATCCGTTTTTAAGGGGATAACTGTATCTGGAGGGAAGTTCACAAAAAACTAGGAAGCGGAGCTACCGCATGGAAAGTGTACACTAACTTGCTCGAGGTTATTTCCTGGATTTCTTCTCGACTGCAAACTTATCCTCTTGAAGAACATCATCAGAAGAAATTAACCTTCGGATTCGAACACTTTTGACAAATCTCGTGAAGGTTCCGTTGTCACCTACCCCATCAAGAGACGTTTGAAAAGTGCCAAGTAAAAGTGGTCTCTTATTTAAGATACTTTACCAGTGAGGCAGTTTGCAACGGATCATCCGAAACTGGTTTCTTTTGAGGACACGTCTCTCCTGATGGCGATCAATCCATACGGGTACAACCATTTGTTTAAGAGAGCGGACCATCAGTGTTGAACACTGATGTTATGCTGTCCATGACGATGATGATTTGTTTAAGAATTAAGTCCCAAAAAGAGACTGGATTTGGTCGGTCTTTCCAGACGAGAGAGACAACGGACCTGATTGGTTTATCCATTTACTAACAAAGTCTCGGTGAGTGGTACAAGCTGCAAAACTGGAGGATGAGCATTGATCACGAAGAAATTCAGAACAGTCGCAGTTTACAGAGGGTTGGTCCATATATTCAAATGTCACTAGAAGTCGTTTCACTATTTGGGAGGTTTCATTCTGAAATGTGAATAAGTTTAGTACATTCCTCAGCAGCTTGGACAGTCTACCAACCAGGAAAAAGCCAATCAACAATCAGCTTTCTCTGTAGCACTCGAAATATGATCTGAGAGGTATCGTTGCCAACTTTGATCAATCAAAGTGACGGAAGTCTGTTAACACATTTTTGGATGCCAAATCATATAGTGATTTTTCAAATGTGCTAATTTGTCATGTGTATTCGCTCATATGCAAAGCTAACCGATTTATTCTCTCCAAAATCAGTGGTCGGTAAGTTAGAGCTAATCAAATCGAAAACAAATAATCTGCTCAGAAAAGGGGGGAAATCTCACAACCCGCATGACTTTTCCACTTGTGAAACCACCTCTCGAGGAGTCAGCCGAAATAGGATCACGTGACATGAACTGTGTGATTGAAAAATGGTAGCACTATAATGTATCTGAGCGCAAGTTAACCAAGCTGGCGACCAGCTACTCGTGACCGAATAGTGTAGCTCTCAGCTACTAACCAGAAAGTCGCGAGTTTGGACAGTCCCAGAGAGTCTTGAGATGAGCGCTGTCAGTAATTTTCATAGGCTTTCTGCATGGACTGCTTTCATATGAGGGATGAGATTTCACTTAAAACTGTTAAATCACCTCACTACATATCAACTGTCTTGTCATGTTAGTCAAATATTGTTGCAGTGATACTGGATGACGAAAATTACGATTGTAGAGGTAAACACCTAACTGCTTATTAAAGGCAGGAGTGTTGTTTCAGCGAAACTAAATGTTCGCAATCAGATAATATGAAACGTTTGACTCAAGTGAGTGGCCTTTGAAAAGCAGTTGCTTACGGAACGCAGAAATCCTATATTTGGGTCTGAAAGTTATTTTTTGCTAATGGTACGACTGATTATTGGGTTGTATTAGTTCTGGTGAGTTTAACAGTGACTTTGGTTTCAGATTGTATTATGTTGTATTATGTTCAGAATTTACAGTAGGTGTAGTGATGTCCGTTTATATGGCCATTGAGATAGGGTCTTTTGAAAGAATCCCTTTCCCAACTGAGACCATTTGGGCCATTCATTGTTTGAAATATAAGGAAAGAACAGCTGATTTGGCTTAATTGACAAACATCAGACAGCACGATTCCTCAAAGGAACTATGGACACCTAGCTGCAACGGAAGCCGCACAATGTAAACGGGCAAGGAAAAGTTGCTTTGTGGGGAAGTGTCGATTGACCCCGTTTGCCGAAACACTGCTGAGTGCAGTAGTTGGATCTAACCATGAGCCGTCAGTTCTTAGCCCGTTGTGTGGTTAGAGCGCGAATTTACTGACTGGAAGGACCGTGGTCCAAACCCGACCTCTGCCTCTCGATTTCCCCTGTCTAGGCTTGGGCAACCTGGCAGTATCTCGGCCCTCGTGCTTACCCCGGGTGCCATGGTAGCTAGGCACGGGAAGCGTGTTACAGCTGAACTGGTCCGTCATGTGGAAATTCCATTATTCCTGTACTGGCGTGAGTGATATGGCTGTAGGCGAGCCCTGGCACTTCCCATGGGTTGCGTGGTCGGTACGCGCCGTAGAAATGTCGTAGGTGAACAAGTGTCATTGTGCCGGAATACTATAAGCTTATTGTGTAAAAACCTGAAATGTAGTATGCTACAAAAGATCTTTAAATTTGCAAACGCAAGTCGTTTAACATTTCACAATGCTGGAATAGATCTAGCCAATTGCGGAAAATTAACGACCGACTGAGGATGTTCCCGGTGTAAGAGTCGACACAACGTTAACCTAAACAATGCGGTGGGAAGAAGCCCTTGTTTGAAGCTCGGGTGAGGGAGCACGTCTCAAGATAAGTTCTGAACAGACAAAATCAGTCCAGTAATAGTCGTATTACATTTGATCGAAATCTACCTTCCCCACCCAATCAGTGAAGTTACCAGACTGACATTGCTTCAGCCCTCAACACCGTCACAAAACGGAAATGTGTCATTTTTCGAGTTCCACTGAAGCCTTGATGACTAAGTGATTTAGACGAGATCTATGTCCAGGCGGAACGTTTTGTTTGCCTCATTGAGCGTACTTAGCCACCGATCGTACACTTCAAGATAAAAATGTGGATTTGAGATTTCTCGTAATGACTTGTACGTTCGTTAATTCATGACACATGAGGTGCATAGATCAGTTGATAATGTTCCAAGCGTGCCGCGCAAGTGGTGTTCTGTTACTGCTATTTGGGTTATCCACACACGAGAACGATTTTCGAATTTGCACAACTACTCTTCATCAGCGAAGCACGGTTTGTAGAAATAATTCCTCAGACGAGGGTAAGATTTCAGCCGATTCAGTTAGTACTTGTTTCGGCATTGATAATCGTAAACGTACGTTTTTGAGGAAGGTGGTAATGGATGTCAGTGGAAAAAACAAACCTGGGAACGTGAGCCTTTAGTAGGGAATCCACAGGCTTCGATGACCGGCTCAGGTAGTATGTCTGGAACAGAAATCAGGGCAAATCCAGCTTGAGTAAGGCGCTCTAGGGTCAATTCTGTCAGCGCATCCTCAATCTTGGCCAAAGGACCACTGAAGTAATAGGTTCGCAATCCAGTAGCCATGGTTGCGTTTCTGACGCGTAAGTGAGGTGTTGGATGGAAGACATCGAGAGAATCAGGATTGGAGAGGGATGGACCAGTGGGAACCATTGCAGTGGACAGTGTAACAGCATCTTTTGGTTTCCAATCGACTTGAGCAATAAAGGGGATTGGGCGGAGAGGAGAATAAGCGACATGCATAAACTTGACAGAACACAGAGTGATGAACGGCGCGGTTGAAATTTGTGCAAAATACACGAGACTGCGTAGGAACTTATGTAAGGTAAATCTTAAAAGAGAGATCATCACGAGGGGAAGGAATCAGGACTATCTCAAACAGCGGTTCCACTTAGGTGAGGCCATGCGTTATACAACACGTGACGGAGTAATCAACTATTCAAGGGAAGATTGCGGGGTTTATGTTGCGAGAATAACCGTGAACTTGACAACATGCTCCCTGTTCAATGAAGTTGGAACTCATAGCATATCAGTCAATTACGGCGGCCTCTATTAAGATCACGCAGCAGAACCGAACGATAGCTTCCTTATAACTGTTGTCTTAGAAAGGCTTAGAGGAGATCATCCGACTTCGTCCCACAAAGGATACGATGACCCGGGAGAAGTGAAGTCCATATTGGTTGAATACACATGGTTGAAGCTTGTTGATATCGTTGGGCTGATCAGCGACCGAGAACCACAATAGCACATGCAATGGAAAGCCCATACAAACAACTCGATGACGCTAACCACAGCAAATACTCCAATAGGATGGTTTTGGATAGACGAGCACATTGTCTAAGCATACACACAAATCTAACCACATGTAAAGTTGTCGCTCTCCGTAGATACCACCCGAATAAAGAATACTGGGCGGTGGGACTCGTACATTCGACAAAAGTCTCAAGAGCCTTTTCTGAATTTGACCTCTCTGGAGGGGACATTTGTGTAAACACGTTGTTCCCAAACCCTTATACGTTGGTTGATCTCCTTATGTGTAAGGTGAACTCCTTAAATACGAATCTCAGTGTAACAGGCTCACATCACGCTGCATCTTGAAATTCGTCACCTTACTAGAATACCTATGTAATCTGATCTAGCAGATCAACCCAAAGAATGATAAGGTAGAGAATAACGCTCATAGACGGGACAGCTACGCCTTTGTACACTACAGAACCATAAAAAACATGCAACGTATTTCTTGAGAAAACCATGGCGATGAAAATCAGGCTATCCATCACCTGATATCGGAAATACACCAGGAAGACATACACACAGTTCTGACCAAAGACTTACCTGCCAGCTTGCTGCCATGGAGGTAAATCTGTTTAGCCTTCGAAGGATCGCCAACAGGCTGAAAGAAACAACCATAGTTTATAGCTCACAAAGAAGAAAAGCCATTTATAACGCATCTCTACGAGACAAAATTCCGTCCCAATACTGAATATTGTTCTTCAGACGGGGCTGGATATGTGTACCCATATAGTGATCAGAAAAAGGGCTACCGATGAACAGCTAACTGAGTTTAGTATACCGATTCAAAATTCCAGCAGCAGATAGGCGAGGTTAGGTTTTAATCCGCCATCGTACAATCTGTACACATTGCTTAACAGGTAGTTGACGGGATCGATGTTTTTCCGCGCTCGTAGACGTAATTTATCGTCCAATGAGATGCTTCTTACCATGTTCCTATGGATATTCACCTAGACAGGTCCGAGCCGGACATAACCTCCAACCGTAAACACCTACGATTTATTGTACGCCAAGAAAAATAACCGATATACGTAACCCCACCACAAAAACAATTGTCTGTTAATGGGGTGAGTCCAGTGGACACTCGTAGAATGGGGATTAAACGCACGTACTTTGCACGCCGGATTCCAGCTCCTGTCTAATTGAGTATCTTAGTGGACAAACCTCGACCAACTCGAATGTGTTGGCTGCTAGAAAGGTGGTACTAATGGGTCAGTAAAATCACCTCAAAAACAGTATGACTCCAACTGAAGGGGTAATCATCATCAGCATATCCTTGGGGGGTTGTTTTGGAACTCAATTCGGGCATTGGCCAAGTTCAGTCAGTTTTGGAGTTTCGTGTTTGCCTCGCCTATTTCAGCACTACATTCGGTACAAATCGGTTGGAAAAAACAACGAGACTAACGAGGGTTAAAGTGCCAAAACTCACTGCGACCGGTTGTGTAAGTGCTATACCAATCTATGCTGACAAGCCGAGAAGCAGTATGTACGCTGTTTCATCCTTATTGGAAATCATTACCAGTGCGCATCTCACGAAACTTCAGAGCCTCGAACGCGCGACCCCCGGCTAGTAGTTTGAAGGCTTAACCGTTCGGCCACGCGTTGTAAAGCTACGAAACGAGCGAGCCATTCGCACGTATGTACTTCATTGGGATCGATCTTGTGTTACCCGCATAATCATTGGCCCACCTGGAACCGAAGTTCCATTTTTTAATCAGTACCAACCAGATAAAGTCATCCTAAAGATGACGAGACCATCATCAGATGAGAGGCCATTAGGAATTACTTTACTAAGTTACCCAAAACAAAACTGGATGCCTTCGGTGTCGAAGTCGGATAAGAGAAAAACAACCGGCTCCAATGCATAGATTTTCACGATATATGCATTCAACATTTGTTGAAGATAGGTAAATAGATGCTTAGCTTTTAATTTCATTACGCACTCTTCTTTGCACCTCAATTTTGAGGACCGTTTTAACCTTTGCATGCTTTCTACGCAACCCATACAGTCACCACGTTCATCAAAAAGTCTATTCAATGATACCTAGTGAAACATGCCATTACTTCAAAGCCCATATTCTCTGTGACCAGACCAATACGCTTGTCACCAAACTTTCTCCGGGTAGCATTTTCCTTTCTCGTGTCTTGTGGCCTACAGGGTATTCACACCTTTCTTCATGGGGACAACATATTAATTCTGAGCAAAAGATGTACGTCTAATATGATTCAGTATACACTCATTTGCAAATCAATTTGGTTTTCACGAGATTCTCAACTGAATCTCTCGTTTATAGTATTCTACAACTGAATGAGCTGCAAACAGGCCACCTCATGTTTCAGTTGGCACGATATTCGAGATATCGCAGTATATTTGCATAAAGGAAACTACTCACAAGTTTGATGAAGAAATTTCAGCAACCTTGTGAGTAGTTTCCTTTATGTGGTTCAGTATAGTTCTTTCAAATTACAGGATATGATATCGCGGTCTAGGGGGAGAAGTTAGTCCTGAAAACGCTGCTTGTACGTCAGGTGCTTCGTCAATTCAGTGTGTCCAGTGGTGCCATTTTAGGACATCTATTATCAAGTTGCTCTTGCATTGCAAACTGCCATCTAAATTGCCCATTCCCAATGGGACGACTGTTGTTGACTAAAGTATCTGCCTCTATAACAGTGCGCTACCACTCACATAACGAGTACATCCTAACCTAGGTGATCAGGTCGCTTTTCTGGACCGGGACACTTCGTCTGCTTCTTTAGGACGTTCTGCCTCCAAGGAACAGTGCTATATATATATATATATATATATATATATATA